AGAGAGGGAGAGACAGCGCAAGAGTGAGAGAGAGCCGAGAGAGTGCAAGAGAGAGAGAGAGAGAGAGAGCACAGAGAAGAGAGAGGAGAGACAGGAGGCAAAAAGAGAGAGAGAGAGAGAGCCAGTGCAAGAGAGAGAGAGAGAGCGCAAGAGAGAGAGACGCACAAGAGAGAGAGACAGGCACAAGGAGAGAGAGACAGAGCGCAAGAGAGAGAGAGAGCGCAAGAGAGAGACAGAGCGCAAGAGAGAGAGACAGAGCGCAGAGAGAGAGGAGACAGAGCGCAAGAGAGAAGAGAGCACAGAGTGCAAGAGAGAGAGAGAGACAGTGCAAGAGAGAGAGGAGACAGGTCAAGAGAGAGAGAGGAGAGTGCAAGAGAGAGAGAGAGAGCACAGAGAGAGAGACAGAGCACAAGAGAGAGAGAGAGCACAGAGAGAGAGAGAGCGCAAGAGAGAGAGAGCACAGAGAGAGAGACAGAGCCAAGGAGAGAGGGAGACAGAGCACAAGAGCGAAGGAGAGAGAGGAGTGCAGAGAGAGAGAGAGCAAGAGAGGAGAGAGAGCGCACAGAAGAGAGAGAGAGCCAAGAGATAGAGAGAGAGCGCAAGAGATGAGAGAGAGCGCAAGAGAGAGACAGAGCGCAAGGAGAGAGACAGAGCGCAAGAGAGAGGACAGAGCGCAAGAAGAGAGACAGAGCGCCAAGAGAGAGACAGAGCGCAAGAGAGAGACAGAGCGCAAGAGAGAGAGACAGAGCGCAAGAAGAGAGACAGAGCGCAAGAGAGAGAAGAGCGCAAGAGAGAGGACAGAGCGCAAGAGAGAGACAGGGCGCAAGAGAGAGACAGCGCAAGAGAGAGACAGAGCGCAAGAGAGAGACAGAGCGCAAGAGAGAGACAGAGCGCAAGAGAGAGACAGAGCGCAAGAGAGAGACAGAGCGCAAGAGAGAGACAGAGCGCAAGAGAGAGACAGAGCGCAAGAGAGAGACAGAGCGCAAGAGAGACAGAGACAGAGCGCAAGAGAGACAGAGACAGAGCGCAAGAGAGACAGAGACAGAGCGCAAGAGAGAGAGACAGAGCACAAGAGAGAGAGAGAGACAGAGCGCAAGAGAGGGAGAGACAGAGCACAAGAGAGAGAGACAGAGTGCGCAAGAGAGAGGAGAGAGCGCAAGAGAGAGAGAGAGTGCAAGAGAGAGACAGAGCCAAGAGAGAGAGAGAGGACAGAGCGCAAGAGAGAGAGAGACAGAGACAGAGAGAGAGAGAGACAGAGTGCAAGAGAGAGGACATAGTGCAAGAGAGGAGAGAGAGTGAGGTGCAAGAGAGAGAGAGTGCAAGAGAGAGAGACAGAGCACAAGAGAGAGAGACAGAGCGCAAGAGAGAGAGCGCAAGAGAGAGACAGAGCGCAAGAGAGAGAGCAGAGGCGCAAAGAGAGAGAGAGGCGCAAGAGAGAGAGAGGAGGCAAGAGAGAGAGAGCGCAAGAGAGAGAGAGACAGAGCGCAAGAGATAGAGACAGAGCGCAAGAGATAGAGAGAGAGCGCAAGAGAGAGAGAGAGCGCAAGAGAGAGAGAGAGCGCAAGAGAGAGAGAGAGCGCAAGAGAGAGAGAGAGCGCAAGAGAGAGAGAGAGGGACCAGCGCAAGGAGAGACGAGAGAGAGCGCACAAGAAGAGAGAGATGAGAGAGCGAGCGCAGAGAGAGAGAGAGCACAAGAGAGAGAGAGAGCGCAAGAGAGAGAGGAGCTCAAGAGAGAGAGAGCGCAAGAGAGAGAGAGAGAGGCGAAGAGAGAGGCAGAGCGCAGAGAGAGGGCAGAGCGCGAGAGAGGGGCAGAGCGCGAAGAGAGAGGCAGAGCGCGAGAGAGAGAGAGAGAGCGCAAGAGAGAGAGAGAGCGCAAGAGAGAGAGAGAGCGCAAGAGAGAGAGAGAGCGCAAGAGAGAGAGAGAGCGCAAGAGAGAGAGAGCAACAGAGAGAAGAGCGCAAGAGAGAGAGACGCAGAGAGAGCGGAGAGAGAGTCGCGAGAGAGGGCAGAGCGCGAGAGAGGGGCAGAGGCGACGAGGGGAGGGCAGAGCGCGAGAGAGGGGCAGAGCGCGAGAGAGGGCAGAGCGCGAGAGAGAGAGAGCGCAAGAGAGAGAGAGGAGAGAGAGGCAAGAGGAGAGAGAGAGCGCAAGAGACGGAGAGCGCAAGAGAGAGAGCGCATGAGAGAGAGAGAGCGCGAGAGAGAGCGCAAGAGAGAGAGAGAGCGCAAGAGAGAGAGAGAGAGCGCAAGAGAGAGAGAGAGCGCAAGAGAGAGAGAGAGCGCAAGAGAGAGAGAGAGCGCAAGAGAGAGAGAGAGCGCAAGAGAGAGAGAGAGCGCAAGAGAGAGAGAGAGCGCAAGAGAGAGAGAGCGCAAGAGAGAGAGAGCGCAAGAGAGAGAGAGCGCAAGAGAGGGGCAGAGCGCAAGAGAGGGGCAGAGCGCAAGAGAGGGGCAGAGCGCAAGAGAGAAAGAGCGCAAGAGAGAGAGAGCGCAAGAGAGATAGAGAGAGCGCAAGAGAGGGGCAGAGCGCAAGAGAGGGGCAGAGCGCAAGAGAGGGGCAGAGCGCAAGAGAGGGGCAGAGCGCAAGAGAGAGACAGAGCGCAAGAGAGAGACAGAGCGCAAGAGAGAGACAGAGCGCAAGAGAGAGACAGAGCGCAAGAGAGAGACAGAGCGCAAGAGAGAGACAGAGCGCAAGAGAGAGACAGAGCGCAAGAGAGACACAGAGCGCGAGAGTTAGACACCCAATTAATTTTTTTTTTTAACACGTCGGCCATTTCCCACCAAGGCAGGGTGACCCAAAAGAAAGAAAAAAACAAAAAGAAAGAAACTTTCCTTATCATTCAACACCTTTACCATCACTCATACATAATCACTGTCTTTGCAGAGGCGCCCTGATACGACAGTTTAGATGGTCACTCCAATTAATATTTGCACTAACAACTCATTACAGTTGTGATGGTGTGTGGATGTGTGAATGGCTCGTTACTTTGCAATCTGTTCATGATTGTGACCATGTATAGATGTCTAAGTGGTTCATTACCTTTGTAACTGTCATGATTGTGACCAGATATAGACATGTAAAATTTCATTACCTTTTTAACTTGTTCAGCTATCAAAATTTTGGGGCCCAGTCCCTGGACCCATTATGTACCTCTGTAATCTTTTGACTACCACCCACAGGATAGGCATGGGCTGCATAATTAAGATATTAAACTTAGGCCTCAACTTGAGCCTAGAGAAGTGTCTTGATATTAGACAGTAATCTAAGCTCCTGTTTATGACCAATAATGTTTATGACCCAATAATGAATCATGTAAACTATTTAGCATAAAGTAATGAATAACAAAAATAATCATAAATAATTGTAAAAATTTGTTGATGCTTAATAGCAGTAGCAATAGGTTAAGGTTAACCAGGCGATGGAGTTGGACAGACTATGATAATATCAGAAGGCTAATTCGCCAGTTTACTATCAAAAAACCCGTTAACAATATTTTTATTCACTTCAAATGATCCTGATATTAAGGGAACATTATGAAATATAAAAAGCAAAAGTAAATTTTGTGGTATGTTGAAAGGGTTTCAAATAATGATATACAACAGTATACAGTAGCATACACAGAAGCCCATTTGCACACAGTAGACTTGTTTTGGCTGTGTTGCAATACTAATGTACTCTTATTAATTAGTAAAATCAATGAACTTTAAAATAAATATCAAGTATTTTTAAAACACATGAAAAAAAATCAGAAATCAATATGAAGTCCCAACTGTAAACACCCACTTGCACTCATGCATCAAGACTGACTCAGCGAGTAAAAAAATAACACTGCCAGTCAGGTCCAAATCATGTATTGAACACAACTCTCACAAGTCCTGCAAATATTCAATTGCAGCTGAACTTAGCGACACTGAAAGACAAAAATACTGCCTAGCACAAGAAAACTGAAGAACCATTCAGTACACAAAGACAAACAATAGAAATCAAGGACACCCAATTGTAATCAAGTAACCCAATGGCAATCAAGCACCCCAATGGAAATCGAGCACCCCAATAGAAATCAAGCACCCCAATGGAAAGTCACTGGTCTGAGTTATCATAGGTAATTTTCACATATGTTACTGTGTATGATAATTTGTTTAACTGTGTGTGTGCACTTGTACCTAAATAAAGTTGCTAATTTGAAAAAACTAAGCAATGATGTAAGAACAGAGGGAAATGTTTTTATTCATTGCTGTACATTGTTCATTATGAGTAGTTAACATTTGTTAACTCTGCAAAGAACATTTTGCTTACAGTTATAGATTTAATAACCTTCTAAGCTCAGGAATGGGATGTAGCAGATCTAGAATAACTGCCTATATACTGGCACATTCTTTAGCACTGTTTCATGTTAATTTAGCATGTTTTAGTTTATTTTAGGCAAGAGTCTAGCACTATTATAAAATTACATTTAGCAAACATGCCAGTTAGTCGTGTCAGTGGTAAACGACCACAAAACAAACTATCAACATGTGTTTTTATATGTAATGTCTCAGACTTAACAATTTTATTACCATGGATATTGTAACTTTTTTTTCCAAAATTTAGGCTGTCAGAATTGGAAGGGGGGAGGGGGGAATCAATGACACCAGTGTGTCTTGTTCGCCACAAAATATGGCATTCCAAATTCAAGGCTTTAGGTTAGGCTACAGCAAAAACACATGGCCATTACTGTCCCAATCACATCCGTCATCCCAGGTGGTAAAGCACAGCAAATTTAGATACAAGGCAAAAGCTAAATGGTCACTCAAACCTTACCATTAAAATAAAATGACCAAGCATCAGGGGGGCCTAGAATGACAGCTTACATCAAGTTGATATTCAAAAACACTCTGGGGCAGGAAAACAACTTAATTTTACAGTTTCATCAACAATGGAACCTTCAAATCCTCACGTAGTGTGTTTTTGAAACACCACTTGTCAGATTACACCATTTACCACTCTTACCAAATTTAATATTTACCTTGAATACCGTAACTGCAGATTCTCTTACTTGATTCCACTTGATTTAAGCATTTGTTCACTGATACTGAGGTACTATTTGACATTTCCACTATGTATGCCTTTATGTTTTTGTCTCCAACCATCACAACAGTTTGATCCACCAGAGAAACATTTACAGAATCATCTCCAATTACCTGCAAAGAAACAAAATGCCTTCTGATTCTACTGTATATATATGATATACATTGGTTAACTAAATCCACTTAAAAAATGTGAAGGTTAGCATCGTAGACATAAGCATCACACATGTTTTTCATTCAGGTTGTATAATCAAGACAAAATGTTTAAGCCATGAGCTCCATGCCCACTACAAGGTCAACTGAGATAGTGACCAACAAGTATACACAGGTGAAGTGAAACAAAAAATACAGTATACATTAATGGATGTACACAAATAGGTGTGAAACATAGGTTTTAAATGCTGCAGTGTGGAGAAGGTGATTGCAGTGATGTCATATTGGAGAACAATGTATGACATGAATATTATGCAGCAAATTTGAAGCATGAAGGTTAGTTGACTGTGGTGGGGAGGGGAATGTGGTGGTTACCAAAGGGCTAAAAAGGTGTTGTTAAGGTGGTTTATGTATTTAGAGACCAAACATAATAGCATGACTAAGAATAAAAATCTGTGGTTGAAGGAGGGAGGGATAGGGGGTCATCCCAGGAAGGGTTGAAAGGAGAGCATAAATGAAGTTTTTGCATGTCAGGGGCTTGAATATTCAAGAGGGTGTGCATTTCAGATGCTAGTAACTGGAGACAAGTGTTTTTTGCAGCTTGACATACTGTTGGAGTATTATTAAGAAACACAGTGCCAGCAATCTAAAGGAAGGGTGTGGATGTTACAGTTTGGAGGGGCACTTGAACTGTTATGTTAGCACACTTCTCGTAAGACAGCCACTGGAGCCTATAGAAAAAGTCGTACCCCTGCAATGCTGAAGCTCTTTCAAACTGCCCTTGCTGCTGCCAGGGAGTGTACTGTTCCTCCTCCTAGAGACTCTTTCAGCCTTACCATTTCTTCAAGATTTAGAGACCTTTCCTCTATTTAACTGTTCTGTGATTTCACCCCTTGCTTCATTGAAAATTGCTGTGGCTTCTCTCTGAAGATAATTGAACTCTCACAGTTGGGTCTTCATGAAGGCCATCCATTATCCCCAAGAAGTGACACCTGCCTCCTTCATTCCCTCCTCCCCCCCATTTTTGAGTGCATTTGACTCGCCATTTTTTCTCTTACAAAAAACGTGTGCATGTTTGTATACACATCTCTGTGTACAAGTGTTTGTATGACTATTTGATGAGTATTCCTATTTTCCATTATAATATGGCTAAACACATCATGAAGTCTTATTCATATCTGTAGGTATGTCTAAAATTTCAAAATATATATTCCCAGGTAAAAAAAATATCCTACACTTTCAGAAAGATTTTTTTCATCCCAAATGAGGGTTCCTAGCCCAGTAAATGTATTAAACTTTCAAAAAAGTGAATCTGGTTGCAGCCAGTAAATAGCAGTTATAAAATGCCAGAAAGGACCTATTACTGACCAGACCTGCTATAAAAAAAAGTTGAGCAAATCATTCCAGCATGTAAGCAATGTCAGTGAAACCCAAAATACAGATGTGGCATCCATGACAGGCCTGTGCCTGTGATGTTTAAGTGAGCAGTTCAAGCAATGATTTAAGTGACAGCAAGGCACATTCACTAATAAAGCAGAAACCTGTTCAGCATCGCACTAGGTTTAGCAACAAGTTGTGCCACAAGGTGTGACACCAACTAAATACAGTGGAACCTCTACTTGCGAGTTTAATCTGTTCTATGCCCTTGCTCACAACTGGATTTGCTCATTTGCAGTCAATTTTCCCTCATTTAAATTAATTGAAATGCAATTAATACGTTCCAGTGGAATTCTGTACTCCAATAATTTCGCTAATATTAACTTTACAGCTTATTTATCTATCACAATTCATCTAATATATAATAAACAATATAAATAACAATGAAACCTGGTATGAATAAAATGTGTCATTCGTGTAGTGGTATGGGCAGTGTCAGCGGTGAATATTTCGCTATAATCAACTATACGGCTTATTTATCTATCACAGTTCATCTAATATGACATAACAATATAAATAACACATAACCCTGATATTTACTCTAGAATGAATAAAATATGTCATTATGTAACAAGTGGAGGCAGCCACAACTGCTCCCTCTTTGTTGTGGTAAGCACTGCCATCTAGTGATGGCCTTTAGAAGCCGTCTATTATAATTATGATTATGTTGTACATTATTATTGTTTTTTTTGTTTTTTTTCAACAAGTCGGCCATCTTCCACCGAGGCAGGGTGACCCAAAAAAGAAAGAAAATCCCCAAAAAGAAAATACTTTCATCATCATTCAACACTTTCACCACACTCGCACATTATCACTGTTTTTGCAGAGGTGCTCAGAATACAACAGTTTAGAAGCATACACATATAAAGATACACAACATATCCCTCCAAACTGCCAATATCCCAAACCCCTCCTTTAAAGTGCAGGCACTGTACTTCCCATTTCCAGGACTCAAGTCCGGTTATATAAAATAACATTATTACAACATAAATAATTTGTAATTTTTATTCACAAAAAAAGTATAAGATTTACTGTCATGCCTTATTGCAATAATTGTACAAATAATGTCAACCCATTCATGACTGCATATTTGTTTACTCTTAAACATAGCCAAAACAATCGAACATTTCTCCTACACTGAGCTCAATTTCAATTTTGTCGTGAAAGCAATCAAAATCATATCTATTTATGTAATGTATCTCCCATTCTATCAAATGAGACCAAAAAAACTAGACTACAACCATAAAAACCATGTAAAAATACTGCTAAAGGGTGGCTAATTGCTGAGAAGTGAAATCCATTATTTATCGGGAGAGAGAGTTGAGAGAGGGAGGAGAGAGAGAGGGACGAGGAGAGAGAGGGAGAGAGAGAGGGGAGAGAGAGAGAGAGGAGAGAGAGAGGAGAGAGGATTGAGAGAGGAGAGGAGAGAGAGGAGAGAGAGAGAGAGACGAAGAGAGAGAGAGAGAATGAATGGGGAGGATGTTGGCACTGGAGCAAGAAGTTGATATCCTTGGGGTGAAATTTGACTTCCAAACTACCATGAAGGGAAACCATGTTTGTAAATCTTGCAAACAAGGCAGCAGGAAGCTTACAGCACTTCGCGTATCTCGCATCTGCTTGAACGTAAGGGAGGAGGTTGCAAGATACTGATACGAGGCACAAGTACGCTCACACCTTGAGTATGTGCTCCACTTTCTTGGTTTGCCTGTCCCCCTCTCATCTGGCCGAACTGCTTGACAACGAGTAGAGAACAGAGCAAGACGTCTCCATCTCTCGCCTGGACCCATCCTGATGGATCTGTCATTTCAGCAGTGGCCTTCAACATAGGATAGGGATGACTAATCGGGTGGCCTCTTATTGTTATGTACAAGGCCAATATTGTCAAAATACCACACTTGGATCCACTTCGAGGACAGCGCGAAACAAGCTTTTATGCCACAAGACGGCAGGGAAAGAACAAAAATAAAAAAAAAAAAAAAAAAAAAACAGCAACTTCACTCTGGCTGTACCCTTCTCCAGAAAACATACACTCCATCTGAGATTCATACACATACCCAGGATGATCGAGTATGGAACCATTCGTTCAGCATAATGATGTCAACGAGATAACGTCAGTTGGATTCAAATGAAAATGCTGGCCACAGAGGCTCCAACATTCATTTCCTGTTCCCTACTTGTATGTCTCTAACACTAAAAATGCTTTCAAATGGCTGATGTGTAGGTAACAGCTTCTTAGCTGGTCAATAAAGTTAGGAATCCTTAACCTGTAAAATAGGCTTGTCATAAAGCTAGGGATCCTTAACTTGTTAAAACATGTGTAAAAAATAAAAAAAAAAAAAAAAAAAAATAAAAAGAGAGGGAGAGAGAGTGGGAGAGAGAGAGAGAGGAGAGAGGGAGAGAGAGGGGAGATGAGAGGAGAGAGAGGGGGAGAGAGGGGGAGAGGGAGAGAGGGGGAGAGAGGGGGAGAGAGGGCGGAGAGAGGGGGAGAGATGAGGGAGAGAGAGGGAGAGTAGAGGGAGAGAGAGGGAGAGTGGAGAGGGAGAGAGAGGGGAGAGAGAGGAGGAGAGTAGGGAGAGAGAGCGAGCCGAGAGAGAGGAGAGAGAGGGAGATGTGAGGGAGAGAGAGGGAGAGAGAGGGAGACGGGAGAGAGAGGGAGAGAGAGGGAGAGGTGAGGGTGGAGTGGGAGAGAGAGGGTGAGGGAGTGAGTGGGAGGAGAGAGGGAGATGAGAGGGAGAGAGAGGGAGAGAGTGAGAGGAGAGAGAGGGAGAGAGAGGGAGAGAGGGGAGGAGAGGGAGAGAGGGAGAGAGAGGGAAGAAGAGAGAGGGAGTTGATGAGAGGGAGGTGAAGAGAGAGGGAGAGAGAGGGAGGAAAGAGAGGGATGAGAGGAGGGGAGAGAGAGGGAGAGGAGAGGGAGACGAGGAGGGGAGAGAGAGGGCGAGAGAGGGAGGAGAGAGGGAGAGAGAGGGCGAGAGGAGGAGAGAGAGGGAGAGAGAGGGAGAGAGAGGGAGAGAGAGGGGGAGAGAGGGGAGAGAGGGGGAGAGAGAGGGATGAGAGAGGGAGAGAGAGGGGAGAGAGAGGGAAGAGAGAGAGGAGAGAGAGGGAGAGAGAGGGAGAGAGGGGAGAGAGAGGGAGAGAGAGGGAGAGAGAGGGGAGAGAGAGGAGGGAGAGGGAGAGCAGAGGGGAGAGAGGAGAGACAGGAGCGCAGAAAGGGAGAGACAGGCGCAAGATGGAGAGAGCCAAGACCGAGAGCGGAGCAAGTAGAGAGAGAGAGAGAGGAGGCAAGAGAGGGAGAGACAGAGGCAAGAGAGGGAGAGACAGAGCGCAAGAGAGGGGGAGACAGAGCGCATGAGTAGGGAGAGGAACAGAGCGCAAGAGAGGGAGAGACAGAGCGCAAGAGTGGGAGAGAAGAGAAAGAGGGACAGAGCGCAAGAGAGGAGAGAAGAGCGCAAGAAAGGAGGAGACAGGCGCCAAGAGAGGGAGAGACAGGCGCAAGGTAGGGAGAGACAGAGCGACAAGAGAGGGAG